GGACCAAGTTTTAGTATCTACTTCGTCGCTTTTCTATACGTTTTGCTGTAGTTCGATTTTTGTTGTTGTTGACCAGAAGATCTCAATTTTCTAATATTAAAAAAATAAATAATAATAATAATAATAATAATAATAATAATAAATATTAATTATAAACACTAGTCGAATATAAGAAATTCGACTACTGAATAAAATGGCTGAATCAACCTGAATTTGACCATTAAATATTTGGCTGATATTATACTGAATAATAGAGTAAATCAGTAGCTAATAGATAGTTGAATGCTAATAAAAAATTAGCAGCCAAATTCAAATCGAAACTTTCAAGCAACAACTAATTAATATAATAAAATCAATCTATAATTGATGACTAAATACTTATAAAATTTGGAATAAATTCAGTATAAATTCGATAGCCGAATTCAGGTTGAATCAGCTATTTTATTTGGTAATCGATTAATTACAATAAATTAATTTATAATTAACCACCAAATACTTATAAAATTTAAAATAAAAACAGTATGAATTCGATAGCTGAATTCAGGTCAAATTGGCCATTTCATTTGGTTGTCGATTAATTATAATAAATCAATTTATAATTGATATCTGATTACTAATAATTGACAACTACTTACTAATAATATTTGGTATAAATTTGATAGCTAAATTTAAGTCAAATTGGCTATTTTATTCAATTGTTAATTATTAATCAACAATTGATTATTAATAACATTCATACAAATTGAATTCTAGATAATTTTAACATATAAATTTATTAAAACAAATTAGATACAAATTTTAAGAAAAAAGAAAAAAAACTAAAATAAGAAGAAAATAAAAAAAAAGAAAAAAAAAAAGAAGTACAAGAAAAAGAAAAGAAAGTGAATAAAATTTAAAAAAAAAAACAAGAAAAAAAGAAGAAAAAAATTAAACTCTTTATTTTCTGAAGGTTCCGTGGTGCTCATTAATATACATGCAAAAGTAAACATGTATGCGAATTCTAACACCATAGATTTCTGTACTCACTTTTTTAACAACCACGATGCAACCCGTAATCTCATATTTGATACAACTTATTATAAATATCTATTATATAGTAGCTAGGAAATGAGACTTTATTGGGAAATAATAAATTTAACGATCATGAAAAATAATATATACTATTGATAACAACTAAGTTACTGGTGGATATTAACAAATAGGATACTCTGCTAGTCATATTCAACTGACATCATGTGGATTATCTTATTTGTTGCCTTGCTCTCATAACTCATGCCTATAATTTATCTGTCAGAGAGACTAGCGGAGCCATAAGAAAATGAATCATGTTAAATATAAACTATTTTTAGCAAAAATGATTGATTATTTTCTCTTGCTGACTATCGAACTTGGTTATTAATGTTAGGTCTGATGGAAGAAAGCTACAGTATATATTATCCTTTATCATTCGATTTAATGGTTAATGGAATAAACTTTTTAGCTAAAGTTTTGATTATAGAAGACACGTAATTTGTGCCAAAGAATTTCGCAGGGTCCTGACCTTGGCTTATACATAATTTCTGTCATAGTACGATACGTATCTTTCATAAATTCCACATGCATATTTAGCGGATGGAATATATAGGCAATGCGAGTGTGAAAATTCTAGAACAATAAATCAAAGTTAACTTAACGGTTTGAATAATAGTAGATAATCGAAAAGTATATGCTAACCACTACCTCTATTTTTTCCCTGAACAAACATGGGAAAAGTGTGAAAGAATGCTTTGTTGCAACGCAGAACCTTCCCTAAGTAAATAGTGACGGTGGAACCATATGTGAAGGACCGGGAACTTTGCAATTTTGAGAATTCCGAGATCTACGCAGGCTAGCCAACTTTGATCTTGCATAAAGACCGCTATACCAAAAGGGATGCTTTGAAAATTGAAGTATAAATATACATCTTTATTCATCATGGGCAACAAATACAGAATCATGGTGGACATCGTGCTTACTTGTCGGCTCTTCAAAGAAATTGAGACAAATTCTAAGGAGTTCACCATTAACATCAACACTGGTGATTATATTGCCAACCTCAAAGAAAAAATTTGCAAGGAAGTCAAGAAGACAAATAACGAATTCTTAGATATTGAAGCTGATGGCTTAAGTTTATGGAAAGTCGAAATTGATAATAACAATGATGACGAGTTTTCCAGTCTTGTCTTGCCGAATGATAATTTGACTAAGTTGGTAG